TAGCACTTTTTTCCAAAGACCTATGCAAGTCCATGAGGTTCAGCACAGGTAAAGGCACAAGAAGGTAAAGTCTTGCTATGTCTACCCTGACTTTCAAACACTGGCCTCCACCATCACCGCAGCCCAAACTCACCATGCTGTCCCAAAATGCTCAGACACATGCAGATCCTCAGGATGAGTCAGGAAAAACCTCAGACATTGGCTGCTCCCTAGTTTGGGTCACATTCAGCGTGGACAGACGGAGCTGCAGCATGCTCCCCCATGCTGTCACAGCTACCCTGCCTGCCCTTGCAACACCATTAGGTGATTGGCGTCTTTTAGATGGGACTCTGCTGCTCATCACAGAGAAGAGCTGCAGGACTATAGGCAGTCTGAGTTTGCCTTAGTCCAGGTACTGAGTTTAAGGTTTCCTACAAGAAGAGACATGGTTTTGTCAAGATGTACACAGATTGCATCTTAACTCAGTTCTTTAAAGACAGTGTTGAGGCAGACTTACAATTGTTTGGGGACAGCCAGCTACAAAAAGGGAATCCGCAAATGAAAGGCGACTAGAGGAGGTTGCACCACTGCTCCTGCCCAGCAAGGGTTGGATCCACACGTCAGTGAAATGCAGGTGTCCGACCTCCTGCCCTCTTCCCCTTGCACCTGTGCTTCTGGAGGAAGGAAAGACTGCATGCACCTAAAGGTTATATCTTATGACTTCAATTTAAATTGAATAAAGCAAATTATTATATGGAAAATTTTGAGAGATCCACATGTGTCTGTTAGCTGTAGGAAAGAGAGACTCCTGATTATTGACCAAAGGAGCAAACAAGTTAAAAAATGCCATTTCCCTTGTGGTTTATTGCTCAAGACTGTTAATGTAAAAACTTATGTCTATATTTACATCTTTTTCCTACATGATGTCCCAATTAAACTGTTGTAAATACAAAGTCATTGAATGCAAAGCAATTCTAGGCACTGTAAGAAGACAGTAAATCCATAATTTGAGATATGTTAAGTTTGATTACTTAAATATTAGTAACTTAGATGTGATCTTTCTTGTCACATTGTTTGTGCTGAACCTGAACATCTAATCCTTTCCTGAAGCGTTTCTTCTCCTAAAGCGGTGGGACATGAGGCAGATCCTGTTGGGAAATAGCTCAATGCACCTTGATCCGGCCAAACAGGAGGGAAGAACAGGATTGTCTCCCTCCAGGGATGGGCTGATGCAGGGCTGAGGGGACTTGGCAGGACCTCAGTGCCCAGGCTGGGATGAGTGGAGACTTTTACGCTCACACAGCCCACAAAAGGGATACATAGCCCTGGATTCCAGGTGCCAAGGGATTCCTTTGAAGAGAGCCCCCTCAGAGGTAAAATCCATGGAAATGGAATGCAGAAGCCATTTAGGTGTGCCTCCCTCTACAGTCTAGGTCCCAACCAAGAAAAATGGCCCATAAGAACCACAGGGGGACTTCAAATCTGTGTTGCTCAGAGGCCATTTTGCATCCAAAAGGAGTGTGCCATGCAAAACTGAGCCAAGGAAGAGGAGGAAAGTTCTGGAGCAGGCTGTGCATCACTGGACATAGCCTCAAGAAATTGCAGTGCAAAAAAAAGTTTTACTCTGCAGAAATATTTGCCATGTTTGAATTTTATTTTTTGTTAGTCAAATTGAATAAGCAGGTAACAGAACAAAACAAACCAGGTGTCCTGGAGACCTAAGAATCCAGGTCTATCGAGTTTGGTAGGACCTTAAATACAATATTGAATAATTCACAAGTGACCCAAATAAAGTATTTCCCAGGAATTCTTGGTCATTCTTTCTACTTGGTATTCACCGTAGTGGGTTGGCCACAGCCAGCAGCTAATCATCCCCATGCCCGCTCACTCACTTCCTATGCACAGTGGGATAGGTAAGAGATTAGGAAGTGCAAAAGAGAGAAAATTCATCAGTTTGATAAGCAAAAGAAAGGGGCAGTGAGCAGTAATACAAAGGCTCATCACCTCCCACAAGCAGATCGATGTCCAGACAGTCTCCAGGCAATGACTACTTTGGAAGACAACCCTCACTCCATCATCTTCTTCTGCAAGCCCAGCTTTGTAGCTGAGCATGACATTATATCATATGCACTATCCCTTTGGAGAATTTGGCTCAGCTGTCCCAGGTATGTCCCCTCCCAGCCTCTTTCCCACCCAGCCTCTTCCATACACTGTGAGGGCACAACGTAAAACAGAGAAAGCCTTGATGCTGTGCAAGAACTTCACCAATGCCCCAAATACTAGTGTATTATCAACACTGCTTTAGCCACAAATCCAAATACAACACCTTAAGTGGTGCTATGAAGAAAGTTAATTCCATCCCAGCTAGACCCATAATATTCACAAAGATATTTGAGGAGCTCTTGACTTGCATAAACTCCACTGTTGGCTGAATTCATGTTGGGCAGAATCCAGCTGACCCTCCTGTCCAAGTCAAATGACCAAGAAACAGTGATCATTCATCACTGAATCATTCAGTTCTACATCACTTTTTCATGCCACTCATGTCCAAAGATGGCTCAGGTTTTAGTTTCTCTATATGCATTTTTCTCTAGACAACAAAAACTCTGATGCCCATCAATGCATTCCACATAGGACGTAGCTTCATGAAGCATCCTTGTTCACAGTAGGGTTACTCACCTCAGAAAATGTCACTGTGTAAACATTTTGGTGACAATATTGTAAGTCTTCTTAACAGAATTTTACATCATGGAGTGCTTTCATCTTCACTGTGTGGCTACAGCAATTTCTATTATTAAATGTCTCTAACAACATTTCTTCTGACCTTGAACTTTCTCCACATGGGCCATACTCTGGCATAAGCACAGGTTCTCTGCTGAATGTAAATTATATGACTATGATGTTTGGGAAGGAAATTATTGTTCTTGACCCACAACAGTCTTTGTCATTCAAAATCAAGGCAAAAAGACAAAGTCTTCAAAATTCACACAGCTACACATAAAAATCAGCATCTGTTTCCTTTTGATATTGATCTTATTAGAATCAGATTGATTCCTCCTGATTTTGAGCCCAAAGAAATGAAAATTCTTTTCACTGGAAGATTTTTATTTTATTTCAAGGAGGGGAGTTGACATATTTCCAGCAGAAAATAAAATGGAACGTGACACCTGTCCTTTCCCAGGAAGCTCTTGTGTTTAAACTCTCCTTTTCAGTTTTGCCCATGACACACTTAAAGATGTATGTGAGTTGCTCAATAGTTTGTCAACTGGAATGGAGGTCTGGAGGCTTTCAAATTCTTCTTGTGATTATGAGGAAATAATCAGTACCACACACTAGAGTCATGGAGTTCAAACTGGCTTAAACACATCCTCATTTACGGCCATCCAGACCCTGGTCCAGATCATTTTTACTGCCACAGTTAGACATAAAGTCAGTTGTTGAGGAAGAAAAGGATGAACCTGCTCATAACAACAAAACAGCTTTTTTTCATCAAGCTTTAAAATTTAGATTTTGATAGATATCCTGTCAGCCTACCAAAATGTGCAGAAATGATCACATGGTAGGTATCTGGACTGTTTTCAATATGAGGCAGGAGCATCGTTCCTTTGGCAACTGTTTCAGGCATTACTGTGTAATGTAGTCCTGTCCTACATAATTCAGCAGTGTTTTGATAAAGATCATCTCTCTGAAATCAAAGTTTGTCTTGTCACGTCAGTCAAAAGTACATTGGACTTAAGCTAGTAACCCACAAACGCTCCCATACATGCTCAGCTATACCCATATGAGCTGTCCTGTTGTGAGAAACAGTAATAAGTTTATGCACCTTCCTTTTGGATTAGAGGTAATATGGTCACAAAACTGCACAGCCTGAAAAAAAACACAAGCCAGTCTGTGTTTCCAGTGTATCCAGTCCTCAAAAACCATCGCTTCCAGTGGGGTTTGGTGGAATGAAGCTGAGACCAGTGCTGGTCTCAGGGGATCAGGAAGGTTGTGGCTGCCCTGTTCAGCTTTGGTTTTCTCCACCAGGACTCCATGGACCTCTGTCAGATTGCAATGGCACAGCCGGAGGCAGAAGATAGCTCCACATTTGTTAGGGTAATCTCCTCTCTTTTTTCCTTAGGGCTTTCACCTCTTCTTGTAAATTATGTTTTATATCCAGTTCTCCATGGTAAAGAGACTCTCCTGAAAGCCCATCTCATCTGGGAGGAAAAGGATAAGTCTTCCCACAAATTCCTATTTCTAGAGTGCAAATTTAATGTGCTCTCTCCTGGTCTCCGCAAAAAAAAAAAAAAAAAAAGGAAGCCAATACTCTCCTCGTCCTGCTGTCAGTGGTGCCAATCTCCTTTGCATGTCTGGCAATCAAATTGACATAAATGAGATTTCTACACATGAAATAAACTGAGCCAGAGATCCTCACTGTTGATAAAAAAAAAAAAAAAAAAGCAACAAAAAACCAACCAAAAACCAGCATAAAACTCTTTAACTTCACTGAACTGGATTTCCTGCAGCATAGGACACCTCACCAGAGAATTTGAAACAGAAAAATAGCCTAGACAGTGTTGTGTGTGCTCCTTAAGAAACGCCAGTGAGATAGCGCTCCCACCCATCTCATCTCTGCCTCTGCACCAGCTGATACAGACAGGTTGTCTGACCAAAAGGCTCTTGCAAAATGCCTTTGTGTATAAGGAACAGTGCAGAGAAGCACAGAAAGAAGTGATTATACAGTAACTGTACTGATGAAGTTGCAGAAACTGAACTTCCCTGTGACCCTGTGGTTTCACTGCTGGAATAATATGAAAAGAGAGAGACAAAGCTGGCTGCTAGCTGTGACATGACATCAACAGGGAAGTCAAAGGAAAGATTTGTTTAACATGCTTTCATTTACTTAGAATAGTGATGACATTACAATAACACCACAAAAAGTGAGTCATGTATCTAATTGCCACTTGGAGCTATCAGGATCTATATAAGCACTTTAGCTGTGGGCTTGGAGACAGAAGGTGAAACCCCTTCTGCTGCAGCAAGGCTCCTTGGCAGGCCGGGCACCATGCGATACCTCCTGCTTTGTGCTGCCATCCTCCTCCCCGAGAGTCTTGCTTTTCCAGCACAACTTCAACTACCATCATGGAGCAACATAGACTTTGAGAACCTAAAGGTACGTTAGCAGGGGAACAACGCAAGTGCTTTATGAATAACCTGACTTTTGATTCAGCTTCTACATTCTTTTCCTATCTGCTTATATTATCTGCTTATCCTACATCAACACGACAGTTTTTGCAGAGGTGACATAAAATAATTTAAACTTGCTGATAAGCTTAAACATCCTAAGTCTAACTTACAAAAGAGACCAAGTTCCAACTGGTAAATACAAGGGAGCCTTAAATTTTTAAAACATCTCAAAAATATTATGTATACTACGTTGGAAGGCTGAGAATTTGAATGCTCAGTAAATTTTGTTTACTTAAAAACATTGCTTGCTTACAGTGCTTTGTTGCTATTGCAATTCTTTTTATATATGCAAATTGATACTACAGGGAGAACAGCATTTAATAAACAGAAATGGGAAGAAAAAATACATCTAAAACTAGCAATGACTGCAGGATGAAGAAATAGTTCAATCAAATGAAAAATACAATTACATATTAATTTTTATTTTCCTTTTCTTCTTCCAGACATATCTTGATAAATTCTTTCCAATGTTTACAAAAACACCAAGCCTTAGCTTAGAAGAGAGGATTAAAGAAATGCAGAGGTTTTTCCACCTGAATGTAACTGGAAATTTAACTGCAGAAACAGCAGAAATAATGAAAAGGGCCAGATGCGGTCTCCCTGATATGACAGGTAACAAGGCACTTGCTGACAGTTCAAGATGGGAAAAGACACGTTTGACTTACAGGTCAGTAACATTCCCTTTCAGGGAAAGGGATTGCTTTGTGTTTAACTATGAGGTTTTCCTTCACACCCTAAATGACATTAACCCATTTCCTTTTGTTGCCAGGATTGTCACTTACACAACTGATCTAACCCAAAAGCAAGTGGATAATGCAATCGAAAGGGCTTTCAGGGTATGGAGTGATGTGACTCCACTGCAGTTCGAAAGAGTATTCTTCGGATTTGCAGACATTATGATTGCATTTGCATATTATGGTAAGAATATCTGTCATTATTAAAATGCAATGGTCCATATTCCGCTCAAAGCATGTATTTCTACACAGCTTTAAGAAAGAACAGTTTGGAAATATTCTGAATTTTGCATAAATTTTATCTTCCTTTTATCATGCCACGAAATTTATATATTATGACTTAGTTTTACCTTATGAAACCATTAGAAAATCCTTTCAGACGTACAGCTGTGAAATGGAGAGAGAATTCAGCTCCGGAATGAGACACCTAAATTTAGACGTTCAAGGTTCTGTCTGCCACGATGAATAGTGCAAACTAATGGGACCAGATCCTGTAGAGCAAAACAGCTGTTTCTGAAGATCCAGCCTCCACAGGCTGGATTCGGCCACGTTCAGGCAGGTTTACTTTGTTCTAGATCAATTTTGGTTCCCTGGACTGATCAGTCTTTGGCAGCTGGGGTGCATTAGGTTTGGCCATAAAGAGGTTGATTTTCTTCTAGAAGGAATCCCATTGGTGCATTCCAAGATGTGCAAGCCAAAGCATGGTATATGCAGACAGCCAGTAGAGTCACTTCAGAAGCTTGCTTGTGGTTCAGATTAATACATGATGTAGCCATACCTTTAACTTGTGCCTGGCACCTAGACTGACTCAATTTAGCCAAACTAAACACCTACTTTAGGATTAGCTGACTTGTTCTCTAGATCCATTGACCATATTCACTAGATCTCCATTGACTCTAAGTGAAGAGCAGACACCTGGCTTACAAGTAGATGACTGCACCCAAATATCACAAGCTCATGCTTCACCGATGGGAAACATACTATGTTGCCATGAAGAGTCAACTAATGCCTCTTCTGCCTGTGTTATCCCTGACCCAAGGACTATCCACATGGTCTGAAGGAAAGGACACAGCATGGTATTTGGGTCCCCAAATACTCCTCAATCACGTCGAAGCTCATTAAGGGGTAGGAGGAAATTTTCAGAGATGGTACAAATATATCATCCTGTCAGCTCTTGCACTTGAGGTAGGAAAAGGTAACATTCTATGTGAACTGTGCTAGAAGTAGGTAATAAACCATACCCCAAGGCTGGGGACAAATTAACTTAGCTCTTCAGGAACATGGTTATCAAAAAATCCAAATCAATACCAAATCATTGTCTTCCACTAAAATCAATACAACTAAGAATGTCTACAACTAATGTTGCCCAGCACTTTCCAACATTGAAAACATTCAAGTGCTTATAACATTGTCAAGCATTAAGTAGTTATTCTGAAATTATCCCTGATTGCTGCCTCAGCAACACATTTCTAACAACTGCTTAAAAGAAAATGTTCAGCTCTTTCTGAAACATGCACCAGCCTGAATTCATATATATCATATATAAGTTTTGAACTTAAGTCATGAATTTTGAGATTTGTTTCCTAACTTCCTCCTCATTTTTACAGCCTTGCTGATATCTTAGGATTATTTTTTAAGGACTAATCATGAACAAAACTAGTACAAACAAGCATCATGCTTCAATTTGCTGAATTTAAACATGATGCAACCTGAGGACTTTTATTTCTTTTCAAATGCAGCGCATGGTGATGGAAACCCTTTCGACGGAAGAGGCAACGTTCTAGCTCATGCATTTGGACCTGGAACCGGGCTTGGTGGAGATGCTCATTTTGATGACTCTGAAAGGTGGTCAGAGACAAATAGAGGTAAAACCCACATGTGTGTATGAAGGGGAAAGGCAAATATTGTACATGTTAGAACACAGCCATAGGAAATGCTTTCCATAACTCTTCATGCTTCAGCAGCGTTTCAATACCAACACTTCTGTTATTTTCAACTACCTTTCTAAGTACTTGTCCTTCGTTATCATTAGCAGCTACACAATGCCTGTTCTGTCCATATTTTAAAGCACTTTTCACAGCCTAAACAAGGACTATGAACCTCTGTTTTCTACATAAGTTACAAAAAGGTAAAATGACTTTCATGTAGGAATACAGTTGACTAAAAGCAGAGTTGTAAAGAGAGTCTCTAGATGCATATGCAAGGGAACAGTAATGTTATTATTAAAATATTATAGTTGAATTAGAAAGTTTAGTAATAATTGGTTAAAACTCTAAGATTTCATTCCGACGGAATGAAAGATATACATTGTCCTACTACTTCAATTCTTTGTATGCTAAAAAGAACTGCCATATGTTTAACATACTTTTCTATGCTTCTATGTTGCAGAAATTAATTTGTTCCTTGTTGCTGCTCATGAATTTGGCCATTCTTTGGGACTTTCTCATTCAGATGACCCTACAGCTCTGATGTACCCTATCTACTCATATGTGGACCCATCAACCTTCACACTTCCAGAGGATGATAGGCGAAGAATTCAGAATTTATACGGTAAATTCATTATGAGATTTAATTTTCAAGATAAAACCTACTGGGGTACAGGTTTCACTACTCTCCCTTACTGTAAGGGCCTCATCAGGTTACCAAAAAGAAACATGCTTGGGAAAAACACATTCCTGTCTACTCCATCCACTATGTTCTTTTTGTTATGTGTCCACACTGCAACCAAGAGATGATGGAACAGCAGTGCAACTGCCCAGCACACTGTCTTCCTTCACACCTACATACATATTGCCAAACAAATCCTGTGGATCTTGCTCTGCAAACGAGCTGTTTAGTGAATGTGGCTACTGGCAGGGAAACGAGAAGGATACCATAAGACCTACCAAGTCAATGGGACAGTTCAGGGAAGGCAGAAACTACTCAGCAGTAGGAGTAGAACAAAAGCAGAATTGACCCCATGGGGTAAACTCTGCCAGGTTTGCTTTTCTTTAGGCATCGTCTTCCTCAGGACATGCTAGAGGAACACTAGGAATAAAATATAATTGCCTGCATTGTCCATTTCCAGTATAGACTCTATTTTTATGCTTCTTTCCCACAGGGAAAAGGTCATCAACCTTTTGAAGAAAGTGCTTCAAAACGACCAAAGAACTTACATCTGGTTGTTTTGGTGTTCCCAAACAACTTTAATCCTCTAGATAATTAAAATGGTAAATTCACGGAATGCACCTTCTCTTCCTGAATTTTTATATTGATTTATTTGCACTTTATACAATTTCACGTCACAATTAAAAAACCCCAAACTTGTATACTCTGTTGTCTAATGTGTTTTGTTTTTTTTTCTTCTGGCATTTCACTGGAGGATTAAATAACCCCTGCATGTGTGATACACAGACAAACATCTTTCTGATTAGAGGTTTACATATCTAAAGAGTCTGTGTGCATTTACTGCTGGAGTTAAAACCCTCCTCCTGGCTTGATTTCAGTTCCCATGCATGTCCTGGCCTTTCACAGTACCTACTGCTGCCTCCTCAGGATCACAGTGTGCTTCCCATAGCACTTCTTTCAGCATGGGCTGGGATGCTTTCCCAACGGGAACAGCTTTTCAACTTCATGTCCTCCCTGGTTTGCCAGAGAAGCAGGTTTGAGAAGCAGTGGACTAGGATTCCCATTGTCCACTGTGATGTTACAGAATCACAGAATCACCATGGTTGGACCCACTGTGATGTGGACACATCACAGAATCACCATGGTTGGAAGGGACCTCTGAGATCATTGAGTCCAACCTTAAAAAAAAAAAAAAAAAAAAAACCACAAAAACAAACAAACCACCACACCACCTAAACACACAACAACAACCAAACCAAAAATCCATCACCCACCCACTCAGCAGCCCACGACAAACCAATAATCTTGGGCACTAGAGCATGCCCTGAAGAACCATGTCTACACGTTTCTTAAATACCTCCAGGGATGGTGACTCCACCACGTCCCTGGGCAGCCCTCTGTCGCAACTTCAGACCATTTCCTCTGATCCTGTCATTATTCACTTGGGAGAAGAGGCCAACTTCCTTTCAGGTAGTTGTAGAGGGCAATGAGGTCTCCCGTCAGCCTCCTCTTCTCCAGACAAAACATGCCCAGTTCCCTCAGCCTCTCCTCATATTACTTGTTCTCTAGACCCCTCACCAGCTTGGTGGCTCTCCTCTGGACACGCTCCAGCAGCTCAATGTCCTTCCTGTAGTGAGGGGCCCAGAACTGAACACAGTACTCGAGGTGAGGCCTCACCAGTGCCGAGTACAGAGACACGATGACTTCCCTACTCCTGCTGGCCACGCTGTTCCTGATACAGGCCAGGATACCATTTGCTTTCTTGGCCACCTGGGCACACTGCTGGCTCATGTTAAGCCGTCTGTCCACCAACACCTCTAGGTCTTTTTCTGCTGGGCAGCTTTCCAGCCACTCTTCCCCAAGCCTGTAGCATTGCCTGGGGTTGTTGTGACCAAAATGCAGGACCTGGCACTTGGCCTTATTAAACCTCATCCCATTGGCCTTGGCCCATTGATCCAGTCTGTCCAAGTCCCTCTGTAGAGCCTTCCGACCCTTAAGCAGATTAACACTCCCACCTAGTTTGGTGTCATCTGCGAACTTACTGAGGGTGCACTCAATCCCCTTATCCAGATCATCAATAGAGATATTAAACATGACTGGCCCCAAAACTGAGCCCTGAGGGACACCACTGATGACTGGTCGCCAACCAGATTTTGCCCCATTAATCACAACTTGCTGGGCACGGCCATCCAGCCAGCTTTTATCCAGTGAAGGGTACACTTGTCTATGCCATGATTTGCCAGTTTCTCCAGGAGAACACCATGGGGGAGAGTGTCAAAGGCCTTACCAGAGTCCAGGTAGACAACGTCCACAGCCTTCCCCTCATTAAGAAAGCGGGTCACATGGTCATAGAAAGAGATCAAATTGGTTAATCAGGACCGCCCTTTCATAAACCCATGCTGGGTGGCCCTGATCCCTTGCCTGCCCTGCACTTGCCATAAGACCTCTCCCAAGATGATCCTCTCCATGATCTTTCCCGGTACCGAGATCAGGCTGACAGGCCTATAGTTTCCCGGATCCTCCTTCCGGCCCTTCTTGTAGATGGGCGTCACATTGGCCACCCTCCAGTCATCTGGTACCTCTCTTGTTGACCAGGATTGTTGATAGATAATGGAGAGAGGCTTGGTGAGCTCTCCCGCCAGCTCCCTGAGTACCCTTGGGTGAATTCTGTCCAGCCTCATAGACTTATGTGTGTCCAGGTGCATAAGCAAATCATTAACTACTTCCTCCTGGATTACAGGGGATTTGTTCTGCTCACCATCCTTATCTTCCAGCCCAGAAGGCTGAATACCCTGGGAGTAGCTGGTCTGACAATTAAAGATGATGGCAAAGAAGGCATTAAGTATCTCAGCCTTCTCCTCATCCTTGGTCGCAATGTTTCCCCCTGCATCCAGTAAGGGATGGACATTCTCCCTGACTCTCTTTTTGTTGACATATTTATAGAAACTTTTTTTGTTGTCCTTTATATTAATGGCCAGGTTGAGTTCCAGCTGCGCTTTTGCCTTCCTAATTTTTTCTCTGTATAGCCTAACAAGGTCTCTGTACTCCTCCTGAGTTGCCTGTCCCTTCATCCAAAAGTGGTAAACCATCCTTTTTTCCTTAAGTCCCATCAAGAGCTCATATACCTCTCAGGTATTTTGAAATTAAAAAAAAAAAAAAAAGCCAGAACAGGAATTCTCCTTCCCTCCTTTGGAAGGCTAATCCCACATTGCCAGAAAAAAAAACCAAGCACAGACAGGCATAACCCTGGAAACACTAGAATGACCTCCTGATTGCTGGAACTGGCCAGTTGTCTGGAGGACCTGAGCTGCCCTCTGCTGCAGGGTGGGATGCCCGTCTTCCTGCCATAGATGAAGAGCTGAAATGACACGAGAAAATGCATCCATGTATCTCAGTTCCAGGAAATAATGGCCGTGCCCTCCTGGGTCTCTGAGTTTCTCACTTGAGAAACTTCAAAGCTTCCACTGGAGTCAGTCCCTGGAGAGGCTGGGAAGGATGTGAAGAGAAAGAATAGCTTACTTTGCACACAGGCACTCATCTACAAACACCGGAGCTTTTTTTCATATTTAGCAGGATAAACTGCTATGGAACCAATGGTTTCTCCATTAGGAGCTTGTTGTGTGGGTGGGTGATGGTTTTGGTTTGGTTGTTGTTGTTGTGTGTTTAGGGGGTGGGTGGTGGTTTTTTTGTTTTGTTTTGTTTTGTTTTGTTTTGTTTTGTTTTTTGTGGTTGGACTCAATGATCTCTGAGGTCCCTTCCAACCATTACGATTCTGTGATTCTGTGATTCTGTGATTATACATTAATACATTTGCCAGAAGTGCCCAAAAGTCTAGCCTCTCAAAAATTTGACACCAATTCCCAGCCTTTATCCAAAAGCCTTTTCCTGTTCATGAGCTTCTGCCTGGTGATACAAGGGCTCTGACTCAACATACAACTGGGAAAAAGTTTTGCCCAGCCTTGGGTTTGGTGCAGGACACCTGAGAGGAAGTCTCATGGGCAACATGGGACATGAGGAAGTGGTGGCATCTTTTGCAATTCAAGGGCCAGGTGTAAAGGAAGAGAGGTACTTTTAATCTGCTTACACTGAGAAGATTCATATGCTGCTCTCTCAGCCACCAAACATAAATATTTCCTAGGATAGCATCTAAATACTAATACCCTTTCCAAAGCAGGCCTAATTCCCAGTTGAGTTTCTGCGTACCAACTGATCTCTGGGGGTTGCTCCTTCTGGGTCCCTGGAGCTGGAAGGGATGTGAATCAAATTGTAAGGAATGAAGGTCAATTCCTCTCTGACACATTGGGAAACTACCATTTCCTGCTTTCCTTCTCACCTCTTCTCATCACTCCCTTCCTAGCTGATACTTTACCTTAAAGGTACTGCATCAGATAAAGGACCTTCACTGAGGTGGGACTGAGGCATCCTTGTGTCTTGGAGAAGGCATCTCCAAGAGGCAACAGTGCATAGCATGTGAAATAAAGTAGGAGCTAGGATTTTTGCCCTCAGAGAATGCAAAGGTACCACCGATGCATCAGCAGCATCTTACCTCTTGCCAAGCTGCTGCTGTGCTTCCATTCACAGACAGGACCTCTCCTCTGGGGAGAAGGCTGCCACTGGTTCACCTCACCCTGCTTACTCCATGTGAGCTGTGCAATATCTGCCTCCATCTAGTGGTACAGCTCGGCAGCCTGCACTGGCCTCACACCCTGGCGTAAAGAACATCCTTTCTTTCCACAAGCCCACAGCCCTACCGTACAGCCCACCATCGGGGGAATTAGGGACTGCTTTCCATGTAATTTTTCACGTGCTCTCTCTAGGTTGTATCTGAGGACATCTAAGTGCATTATGTCACTTAAACAGCATCTGCTCCCGCCTCTTCCATATGGAAGAGGTGGGTAATCACATAGTATTTTGTTTTCGTAGGGCTTTGAATTTTTCCTTGCTTGTACTACTGTTCTTGTAAATAAAAACATATTTTATTTGCAACTTTGCTGGTCCAGATAGTACAACAAGCAGCAAATGAACTCTCAAATGTGTTAACATTTCTGATGGGTCCTTTGACTGTCCACATATAAAGGATAAGCTTTATTCCTGTTTTTAAAAAGTGATGGCTACTGCCCTAGGGAAGCTGTTATTGGGAATTACCCAGTCATTTGGGTGTTCTGAGCCTACTCCATCAAACACAGAGTGGAATTCTGAGGGGGCAAAGTCGATATATGTGTGATAGAATTGTGTACAAGAGGTGCAGAGATTTGTAGGGAAATATTAGTTCTAATTCACACTATTAATTCACCTGCTGTCTAATAAAAGTTTAAGCCAATTAATTTTTCTTTCTTCTAAGAAGTGCTTGATGTCCTTGGGATTAGTTTTTTCTGTAATCCTGGAAATGGAGACATTTAATTATACAAAGAAAGCCAGAAAGAAGGTTATACGGGGCAAAAAGACACTTACATTTATCTTTTAATTTATCCATTTCCCCACTGAACAGTCTGCCAAAAAGAGAAACAATAGTAAAAAACAATAAAGGCAGTGCATCAGGAATGAAGTGAGATGGCTGCTTTGACATTGCAAGGATGGACAAGGAGTACTAGGCAAAATATCTTAAGTTAAGGAATACACCCTCATTTTGAG